CCCTAAGAGTCAGACGGAGCTGTTTGCGTATCCCTGGCAGACGAACAGCCCTGCTCTTCCAGCTGCAGTGGGAGAGAAGGAGCCTACAGGCGTGCGAGAGAAAAGGGGAGGACACCGGTCTAGCGAGATCCTTATCAGAAGGTCATTTGTTTGCCTCTCGCAGGAGCAGCTGTGGGAAAGAGAACGCACCTCCTGCGCACTCAGCCTGCACCGCCAACCGCGACACGGCCTCCCTGCCTCTGGCACCAGGTGCGCGGCTCCAGTTTGGCAGCTTCCTGGCAGGGCAAGAACCTGTTTGAGGTTCTGCTGCTTCCCCCACCGAGCCAAAGAGAGATCGGCACTTTGATCCCAGGCCTGCCAACTGCACCTCGGAGTCTGTGGCAAGCGAGCAACCAGCCCTGTGGCTGCAGATCCCTGATGAATGGATTTAATCAAGCCAGGTCCTATTTGGCAGAGCTCGCTGGCACACGGAACGCTGCCTGTTTCGAAAGGCCGGGCGCGCATTGCAAACTTGGTTTGGGGAGAGAGAACCTGATAATATACCATAGAACACCGGTCCCAAAAGACCTACATTGGCTCCCGGTACGTTTCCGAGCACAATTCAAAGTGTTGGTGCTGACCTTGAAAGCCCTAAATGGCCTCGGCCAAGTATACCTGAAGGAACCCTGACAAGAAAGAAGTAGTGTTTTGGGTGGACAGGGGGTGGGCAGGTGTGGGGGACTCCCTGGCCCTGAATGGGGTCACTGTGCCCCTGAAGGACCAGGTGTGCAGCCTGGGAGTCATTTTGGACTCACAGCTGTCCATGGAGGCGCAGGTCAATTCTGTGTCCAGAGCGGCTGTCTACCAGCTTCATCTGGTACGCAGGATGAGACCCTACCTGCCCGTGGACTGTCTTGCCAGAGTGGTGCATGTTCTGGTTATCTCCCGCTTGGACTACTGCAATGTGCTCTACGTGGGGCTACCTCTGAAGATGATCCAGAAACTGCAATTAATCCCGAATGCGGCAGCTAGACTGGTGACTGGGAGCGGCCACCGAGACCATATAACACCGGTCCTGAGAGATCTTCATTGGCTCCCAGTACGTTACCGAACACAATTCAAAGTGTTGGTGCTGACCTTGAAAACCCTGAACGGCCTCGGCGAAGTATACCTGAAGGAGCGTTTCCGCTCACATCGTTCAGCCCGGACACCGAGGTCCAGCTCCGAGGGCCTTCTGGCGGTTCCCTCACTGCGAAAAGTGTTGTGCTGTAGACTGTATGACTATGGAGAAGCTCATTCAGGCACTGATTCAAGAGTAGTACAGGGATCCGAAAATCAACAGTGACCGTTCAAAACTAGTAGAATCCATGCCAAACCGTGTTCAAATGCTGCTTAAAAATAACAGAGGTCATATCCATTACTGGGACGCGGGTGGCGCTGTGGGTTAAAGCACAGAGCCTAGGATATGCCGATCAGAAGGTCGGCGGTTCGAATCCCCGCAACGGGGTGAGCTTCCGTTGCCCGGTCCCTGCTCCTGCCAACCTAGCAGTTCAAAAGCACGTCAAAGTGCAAGTAGATAAATAGGTACCACTCCGGCGGGAAGGTAAACGGCATTTCCGTGCACTGCTCTGGTTCTCCAGAAGCGGCTTAGTCATGCTGGCCACATGACCCGGAAGCTGTACGCCGGCTCCCTTGGCCAGTAAAGCGAGATGAGCGCCGCAACCCCAGAGTCGGCCACGACTGGACCTAATGGTCAGGGGTCCCTTTAGCTTGTATACATTACTAATGTACATATATGTGTGAGTTTTGTACAATAAACTACATGATTTGTTTCATTTAATTTGCACAAGGGTGTAACTGGGGATGGGCAGAGAAGAAAAGCAAATGTTGGGGAGGGGAGCAAGAACCCCCCCAAACCCTCCCCACCACGAACATACAAACCCCCCCCCCCCAGTCTCTTAAAGCCCCCCAGCAGAAAGGGCCTCCCTTAATCTGCCAGCAACTGAGGTTGTGTGGAAGTATTTAAGATTTAAGCTCTCATAAGGGACAGATTTTGCCAACTCCGCTATTCCCCAGCGCTGTTCCAATTTAATGCTGCGCCCCCTTTCTCTCCCTGCTTTGGTGCTGCGGCTGCATTTCTGATGTGGTTTCATAGCTTGCTTTGAAATTCAAATCGCCAGCTGAGTCGAGCGGGGTGGTCCCTTGCGTGCCTGGATCCTTGCACCGCTCTGTTACGTGCGCCCCAAAATGATGCGCAGGAATTTGCCTGTTCCCTTAATTAAGCACGTGTGATGCATTACACACAAACAACGCCACACGCCTGCTTTCAAGTTTTCAACGCATCCCTTCCTTACTGGACCCGTAACTGAATACACAGGAACAGATACGCTAAACGGGCACACCCTCCGTCTTGTTTATTTCTGTTCCGAGCTAAGCAATTTTGCCTTTTGCACACTGTATCGGCAAGTTTCTCAAGACAGCACGGTTTTCTTTGCCCTAGGCTTGGCACAACTGTCAGCAGAAAGGCCACATATTTCGAATTGCATTGCCCTGCACAGTACTTTGCTTGACCCATCTTCCAAAATGGACTCCTTCGGCAATTGCCACTTCTATCCCTGTTCCAATTCCATTTTTTAAAACGGAAAATGACAACTTAGTTATTTCTTACATATCCAACCCACCTTTCCTCCAGAGAGCTCAAGATGGTGCGTATCATCGTCCCCTCTTGATTTTATCCACACAGCAACCCTGAGTAATAGGCTGGACTGGAAGACAGTGAGTCAGGATTCAAACCCTGGTCTCCCAGGTCTTACTCCAGCACATTTAAATATTACACCACCCTGGCTCTGGCAGGTTGACGACGTGGGCTCTCCAAAATAAAAAACAAAAGAGAAGAACTGCCCAGGGGATCATTCACAGGAACTTTGTCTAACGTTGCTAAGTTATATTTTCCAGTTCCTGGCAACTGTTGATTTCTGTGTTTCACAATTAAGCTGGTTACAAAAATCAAATCAGTTCAAGCTCCCAGGCTGCTGCAGATTCAATAATCTTGTGCGTTGCTCCAATGAAGTTAAGGCTTTTAAAAAGCACTTGGCCAAATAATTTTGGCTTTGTATCCACCTCGCAATGTACCACTGGTTCCCACCAAAGTCCTCTTCCTTGCTCCAACTCTGACATTCTTTAGAAAACTAACACTTAAGGCAGGTCCAGGAAAGTTAAGGCACGGTTACTAACCCCTAGGAAGCAAATATCAAGCCATTTGTTGTGCAGGGGAACAAAATCACGTTGTGCGTTCCTGACTGATAACCTGGAGAATATTCTGCTCACCTTAGGCGAGTGACGTAACAATATGGAAGCACTCTTGGGGATTTGGGATATGTGGGGAACTTACTTCGCCCCGGGGGCCACATTCCCTGATTGAAAACCTTCTGAGGGCCGAATGCCATGGGCAAGGCCAGAGGTAATAGTGCGTGGGACAATGAATTGAAGCTTTTTCCTAAGTAGGCTAGTTTCCACAGACTGCAACCACGGAGCTACATCAGAAAAAGAGCAATCTCTGCCCCAAGCGGCATACAAACTGGAATCCTGACACTGAGAGAGCCAGGAAATGATAAGTGAGGAATAGGAAAGGGTCGCAAAGGATGAGTGCAAACCTGTCGTGGGGAAGACTTTCAGATCAAGGGCCACATCCCCCCCCCCAGGGGCCAGATGTCAGAGGCAAAATTCAGCACAGCAACAAATGTCCTGAATGTGGAAACTGTGCCCCTGAAGGACCAGGTGCGCAGCCTGGGAGTCATTCTGGACTCACAGCTGTCCATGGAGGCGCAGGTCAATTCTGTGTCCAGGGCAGCTGTCTATCAGCTCCATCTGGTACGCAGGATGAGACCCTACCTGCCCGCAGACTGTCTCGCCAGAGTGGTGCATGCTCTAGTTATCTCTCGCTTGGACTGCTGCAATGCGCTCTGTGTGGGGCAACCTCTGAAGGTGACCTAGGAACTGACAACTAATCCAGAATGCAGCAGGTAGACTGGGGACTGGGAAGCGGCCGCCAAGACCATGTAACACCGGTCTGAAAGACCTACACTGGCTCCCAGTACGTTTCCAAGCACAATTCAAAATGTTGGTGCTGACCTTGAAAGCCCTAAACGGCCTTGGTCCAGTATACCTGAAGGAGCGTCTCCACCTCCATCGTTCTGCCCGGACACTGAGGTCCAGCGCTGAGGGCCCTCTGGCGGTTCCCTCGCTGAGAGAAGCCAAGTTACAGGGAACCAGGCAGAGGGCCTTCTTGGTAGTGGCGCCTGCCCTGTGGAACACCCTCCCACCAGATGTCAAAGAGAAAAATAACTACCAGACTTTTAGAAGACATCTGAAGGCAGCCCTGTTTAGGGAAGCTTTTAATGTTTAATAGGTTATTGTATTTAAGTGTTTTGTTGGAAGCCGCCCAGAGTGGCTGGGGAAACCCAGCCAGACGGGCGGGGTATAAATAAATAATAATTATTATTATTATTATTATTATTAAAATCATTTTCCATTGGAGTACTTTCAACACACCCAACACATGGGGGGGGGAGGCATGATCAGAGCTCAAGAACACCTGCCAGCCAGGTAGAAACATTCAAGGAGAATGTGAAGCTGGAGGAGGGCCAAATACAGAAGCCTAGAGGGCCACATTAGGGCGCTGGGACCCCTGCTTCCGGCCCTTAGGAACATGACGCACCTTCGGGTTGGTAAAAATACCTCCAAACACCAACACACAGGGCAGCACGTTTCAAAACTTCCTCCTTCTCTAACACTGCAGAGTCAAGACAGGAAACGCCCTCGAATCGTTGCCCAGAATGCTGACCGTGGGCTGGGCCCAAAAGGACAAAATGGCAAGCAAAGGAAAGATGTGCAAATGCCAAAACTCCGTCAACACACGGCGTGCGCATAGGAACGGCGTCAGGTGTGCTCCAGAGGCAGCTTGGACCACAACCACGCTGTTTTAAGAATAAATAAAAATAATAAAAATAAAAGTTACTTACCTAAATCAGCACACGCATCCAAGAAATCTCCCAACAGATTCAAAAGCCGGGAGCAGTAAATTCACCTGCCTCCAACAAATTCCATGCTCAGCAGTTTCCCAGGTCACCATCCAAGCCCCACGCCTGTAAAGATATTGACAACAGGAACAATGATTTGTATTATTATTATTATTATTATTATTATTATTATTATTATTATTATGTTTTTAGATATGCTGTAAGCTGCCCAGCGTACCTGGGGAAACCCAGCCAGATGGGCGGGGTATAAATAAAATAATATCTGCTAGGATGGATCTTTAGGATTATCTTTAAAATCCACCTGTGCCCTAACCACCTAACTTGGCTCACTTTTCTGATCTTGCTGTTCTCAAGCACATCACTGCCAGTTACAGACCAAAGTAGATAGTGCACTCGATATTGCCTCCTGCTGCACGAAGCAGCCAAGTCCATTCAAAGGTTTGCAGAATTGCTTAAATTTAACACCTGCAGAAATCCCGGCGTCCCAAACCGTATATTTAAAAGCACACTGCTCTTTTTCTTCTTCTTTTGGCAGCAAAGATTCTTTAACAAGCTGCGAGGCAAATGCATTTAGCACAATCCCAAGTTAAAATACGGATTTGCAGGAAGAGCAGAATGTACACGGATGGCAGCTGAGAAAGAGACACACACACGACTTTTTAGAAATGGGTACAAAAGCTGCCTGAGATTCTATGTCAGACAACAACACAGAGACACTCAAAAATTGCTGTGGATTGCGGATGACACACATAATTTCCTGCAGTTAAGTAAAAAAACTCAGGGCTCTGCTTCACGGCAAAGTTTCTAAGCACAGGAAAACTGTTCAGAGCGCACAAGGTTTTGCATGTTACGTTCTAATTCGATATGGGGACTCTTGTAGTCAAATGAGAATCATCCCCAACAGATTTCTGTTCTGCGGAGCCCATGATCTCACCTTACGTGATGCTATGGTGAAAGCTGGGAAGTCAGATGAGGCAATACTTGCAAAACAACCTACAGCAATATAGCCAAACAGGAAGAGGCTAGATATAAGCAAGAAACACAGATCGCAATCCCTAGCAGAGCCACGTTCATCAGAATCAGAGTCCCCTCATTTTACACTTGAAAAATAAGACTTTAGAGCAATATGGCCCAAAAATAGCAACTAGACATTTCGTTTTGGGGGCTTCAGCCACTTAGCACCAAACTTATATATCCAAGTTTCTAACACTGTTGGTTTCCCATTTTAGGTTTGCTGCCTGATTGCAAGCCACGGTTTACCTGTTCAGACACCACACTAAACTACGGCTGAGCTAACTTAACAATGGTGTGGACTGACACCTAGATCGGTTTACTGAACTTGGTCTGCTTCTTTGCATAGCTGTCAACTTTTCCCTTTTCTTGCGAGGAATCCTATTCGGAATAAGGGAATTTCCCTTAAAAAATGGGAAACGTTGACGGCAAAGCTTCTTTGTGAAAGAAAGGAGACAAAATAGGTCTTTTGTCATTGCATCAAGTTATAAGCATATATTCCTGTCAACTGAACACCATGATTGCTTTAAGACAGAAGTAATTTTAAACTTGTAATTTTAAACGAAGATCACGGCCACTGGTCCCATCACCTCCTGGCAAATAGAAGGGGAAGAAATGGAGGCAGTGAGAGATTTTACTTTCTTGGGCTCCATGATCACTGCAGATGGTGTCAGCAGCCATGAAATTAAAAGACGCCTGCTCCTTGGGAGAAGGGCAATGACAGGCCTAGACAGCATCTTGAGAAGTAGAGACGTCACCTTGCCAACAAAGGTCCGTATAGTTAAAGCCATGGTTTTCCCAGTAGCGATGTATGGAAGTGAGAGCTGGACCATAAAGAAGGCTGACCGCCGAAGAATTGATGCTTTTGAATTATGGTGCTGGAGAAGACTCTTGAGAGTCCCATGGACTGCAAGAAGATCAAACGCATCCATTCTTAAGGAAATCAGCCCAGAGTGCTCACTGGAAGGACAGATCGTGAAGCTGAGGCTCCAGTACTTTGGCCACCTCATGAGAAGAGAAGACTCCCTGGAGAAGACACAGATGCTGGGAAAGATGGAGGGCACAAGGAGAAGGGGGCGACAGAGGACGAGATGGTTGGATAGTGTTTTCGAGGTTACCAGCATGAGTTTGACCAAACTGCGGGAGGTAGTGGAGGACAGAGGTGCCTGGCGTGCTCTGGTCCATGGGGTCACGAAGAGTCGGACATGACTAAACAACAACAAAAATTTTAAACTTGCAATGGTTTCAGAGGAAGAGAAATAGGAGTTTGCTTTAATCGCTCACAGGAATCAGTGGTATTTAAATAGCGCTAAAGTCCAGTTGATTTATGGCCATACTCTGTCTCATAGAGAAGCACTGGCCCCCAATCCAGACTGCTATGACTAACTCTCTTTGAAAGCAGTGGAGGCGAACTTTATTTTCAAGTAACCTCTATCAATTCAGCCTTTGGGACTTTGTCGTTATTAATCTTTCTTGGACTGAAACCACTCTTTTGCCAATTGCCAACCCGCATGTAACAAAGACAACGATTTGTTGTCTTACAATTCTGCTTGCTGTCCATGAAAACGTACGGAGACAGACAGAAATCCATTAATTTCATAATTGCACCTTGTCTCTGAACAGATACTTCTCTGGTGGATGACCAAACGTTTTGCATTATGCTCCTACCTTGTGAAAGAGACACGCTGAGTTAAAACCTGCCCAGTGAGCATGCATATGCAAATACAGTGGTTCTCAAACTTTATTCTCAGGACCACATTTTCAGAATAAAAATCTGCTTGCACCACACCAATTTTTTTTTATTGATAAGAAATGCACTTGAAAACAGAAAAACAGCAACTCTTAGCAATGCTTGATTTGTAACATAGAACACAGCGACTTTATAATATGATCACGGGACACCCAGAAAGTACAAAACAATGCAGCTACTTAAGAACATGAACCATTTCCAAAATATAATTATAAACGAGTCATCTCTAGTGCTCTGTTTGAAAGGTGATTCTGGGTCACAACCGGGACTGCCCTCAGTATCACTTGACGCTCTCTGCTCTCATTTTGAAAAGATGTCTATCCATATTCTGAAAATAAATAAAAAATATGGGCAAGGACCAAAGTCACCCCAAAGTGACTTTAAAAGTGGCAAAAATGTCCCTAAAATAACCCAGAAAGGTCAAAATAATGTGTGAAAACAGTGCCTAGTGATCCCACAAGCCTTTGCAAGTGCAATTCCGGGGGTCCTTGTACTGACCATTGAGGGCTGTGGAGAGTTGGGAGTTTGTGCAAGGAAGTTTGTAAGGAGCGACTGTGGCGATGTGCAAGCTGGATTTCGAAGGGGCAGAGGAACCAGAGACCAAATTGCAAACATGCGCTGGATTATGGAGAAAGCTAGAGAGTTCCAGAAAGACATCTACTTCTGCTTCATTGACTATGCAAAAGCCTTTGACTGTGTCGAACACAGCAAACTATGGCAAGTTCTTAAAGAAATGGGAGTGTCGGGCAACCTATGGACTGCAAGAAGATCAAACCTCTCAATTCTGAAGGAAATCAGCCCTGAGTGCTCACTGGATGGACAGATCCTGAAGCTGAGGCTCCAAGACTTTGGCCACCTCATGAGAAGAGAAGAGAAGACTCCCTGGGAAAGACCCTGTTGTGGGCAAAGATTGAGGGCACAAGGAGAAGGGGACGACAGAGGATGAGATGGGTGGACAGTGTTCTCGAAGCTACCAGCATGAGTTTGACCAAACTGCGGGAGGCAGTGGAAGACAGGAGTGCCTGGCACGCTCTGGTCCATTGGGTCACAAAGAGTCGGACACAGCTAAACGACTAAACAACAACAACAAACAAATTTGGAAAACAATTAGTTTCCCCCCGCTTCTGTGCCATTCTCATCCTGAGGACATCTTCCAAGACAATAATGCCCACTTACACCACAAAGAACTCATAACCCACCTACTTTCAGCAGCCAGAAACATCATAGCCAGACATTGGAGAGACCTGTCAGGAGTAAGCCTGGCCCAGTGGTACCAAATAGTATGGGAAACAGCCTTACTAGAAAAATTAACCAATAAACTGAAACTGACACGGGGACAAACAGAAGACGCCTTCACCCCGGTGTGGCTCCCCTTTATCACACACACAGCCCAACAAGACAACGACAAAAATCCACCAACAGCATACAAATCAATATGGCCAACCTGACCCAAAACACCCACCCACCCCACTCGAACAGCCACACCCTAGGCCAACCCCAACCTCTCTCACCACCAAAGGAACACAAGTGAAGAGCAGAGAACCTGCACAAGCGACGTGGACACCAAACCCTACATATATTAAGTAAAACAGAAACATCGCCACCCGACCTCATCCCCACTCATCTTTCCCCCTTTTCTTCCTAATGTCTCAAAAAACGAAACTGATTTGTAAAAATGTTACATGGGGAAAAAAATATACGAGAGAGAGAGATTGCACACGCTTTTGTAAAACGAGAAAACCTTTAAGAAAAAAGAAAGCATCCTTTGTATCTCTAGACAAAAAGAAGGAGAAAGCACCTCTTGAAACCAGCATCTGTTGCCCTGCGCAGAAGTCTGCAGCTGTCTCTTCCAAGGCCCGATAAAAGTGGGAGCTGCCTTCTCGAGTGCCGGGCCAAAGCGGTCCTCCCCTGCTAAGCCGCTACTACTAATCAGTTCAGCTCATTAACGGAGCCTCAGATCTCCCAGGTTTCCCAAGCTTTCGTCCCCGCTGCGCAGCAACAAGGACGCAGCTTGCAATTAGAAAGTGACGTTGCGAACAGCGTTAAGGCAGCCCTGCGCCTCGACTGAGTGCAGCGGCACTGCAATGAGAAAAGGATGCAAAGAACAGGGTGTTTTTAAGTTTAGAGGAGACGAGGAGGCAACAGGTTTGCGTGTCGACACCCAAATAAAGACACAGTTCACACAACACTTTTGTTTTTGTTTTCGGCATAATTTTGGCCACAACTTTATTGAGTTACAGTATGTGAGTGGTTGCTTAGGCATTGGTTAGCGACGATCTGTTCCCACATAGAGGTAGGAACAGAACAACCGTAAGCCTGCGGAAGTCAGCAAGGGTAAACATTT